ATATATATATATATATATTTACAAAACTTGTAACAAGGTTCGATATTTGGAGAAACGTTGAAACAGTTCGTCAGAGGTCTATTTGGATGCAACATCCACCGTAAAAAAACTAACCGTTCTCGATGGGGTTAGACGACAGAAACTTACCATTCCAGCACCGATACCGCAGCAAGCCGGTACCGCGAGAATATTGAATACAGCCGAGCCTACTATTGTTCCGACACCGATGTCACCTTCGGTGATGAACGTGCCGATCGCGTTTACAAACAGTTCCGGCGCCGACGTCGCCGCGGCCATGAACGTAGCACCCGCAACGTCCTTGGACATCGAAAGTGCTGAAATTGAAGTTCGAAACCACTTACTTCTACAAATAAGCCATCATCGATTTACGAAGCATTCGGAAATCGTCGAAGAGATTTCAAAATACTTCGTTTCTTTTACTACTGGGTTGATGCGCATCAAGTGGTGCGCCATTTTTCGAGCAATAACTCCGATCGCGTGAAATATTCTACATTTCTAATTGGAGAAATTACATAGCATACTATAGTACAGTACATAGTATACTTTACCGCAACGGTTCAATAATTCTTGGTACTGTCAAGTCTAATTAAATCAACTCTCGCTAATCCACATTATTCTCTTACGTAAGCTAAAGAAATCACAGTTGAAAGAAGGACCGGTTTTATCATTCTAATTGCTGGAATTTTCATTAAATTCTAATTAAAAATATAAATTATTCGAATGTACGTAAATGGGGACTAAACTTTTTTTTTTTTGGAAATTGGGTGAGATTTTCCTTACCGTGACATATCTTTTCCACAGCGGGAACGAAAAATTTGTCGCACACTACCGCTAACGCGATGAACAGATAAAGCGAAACGATTACGTGCACGACAACAGCTCCGCCCTGCCTCTGTTTCTCGTCGAAGAGATCGTGTGGAAAGTCTTCTATCGCTGGAGGTGTACAATTTATACCTGAAACATAACGATCGTTTAGTCTCACGTGCTTAATCCCGACGAGCAGATGAATTTGTCTTTGGATACCGATAACGCAGTATAATATAATTAGTAGATTGCCAATTTTTACTTTAAATTAGAAGCGAAGATCCATAGAATTTATGTATTAATATATACGAGCTTTAGCATCCTTACATGAGACAAGTTTCTACTTTATTCGTCTCTTCTAGGAATATGAATTTTCCACGAATATCCACCAGTTTAATAATTATTAAATAAAACCAAATAAAAGTTCGCTTCATTCGCTAAATGTGACGAAAAGCACTCTACTTTGGACACTTTGTACGTTTCACAGTTGCTACTTGCAAAGTAGCGAGAATAGCAAAAACATATAGCGTACCGTAGTACGACAGAATTTTCAATCTTTTTCTTTTCCACTTTTCATCCCCACGAAAGAGGGAAACGATAGAAAGAGATTCTTGCTTGATCGATCGCTATTATATCGCTATCTCTCTACACAATATCTTCGATCGTCGAAGCGAATTCGGCGAATCGATCGTGCTTGCTTACATCCTGACAATCGGTGTTCGATTTTTTCGTTCATCAAATCAATCAATTACATAAGTTTCGACGACCTTGCCACACTCGGGACAGTTAAACGTTAAACGCACGCCGTGTCGTTCTGTGATTACGAGTGCAGATAATTGGTTGCATTCGCTCCAGCTTCGCTGAACGATGATCTCAAATATAATCGGTTCACTGACCTTCGTTGTTCGTCTGCTTCTCGCGGAAAAAAATTTCTCGCCCAGGAGTAATTCAAATTCACTCGTGACGTAGACGTGATCCACGTCGTGCGACATAACGAACGCCGTTTCAGCCTTCCATTCGAAAACAAGTGCCACTCCTATATTCTCTGTTCTCTCTCTCTCTCTCTCTCTCTGTGCGTGCAGAGCAGACTCGAGCGTCGTTTCAATGAAATATTTGGAAAATGATTATTTCAATCTCGAACAGAGACAAACGATCTTTCTCGAGATTATTCGACCATTTGAATCATCTTACTTTATTATTAGCTTTCCTTATTTACGTGCATAATTGTATAATTGTACATATCTCGAACAGCGTTTGATCCTCAACAGAGTCCTCTCTAGGGATTATTTGTTATTTGATTTGAATAAATTAACTCAACTAGAAAACTTGTTTGTATCACTTTTCAAACAGAAACAATGAATCAGAAAACAGTAGAAAGTGACTGCTCGTTCAACTTAAATTTGAACAGCCATTTGTCTCATTGTATCAACAAGTCTCAATATTCAACGAAGCCACTTTTAATACTCGTTACGTGCTCACGATGATTATTTGTAAAGCTGTCATACTAATCTTTGTCATTTTAATACATGTTTGAGAAATAATTGCCACATAATCGAGTCTCGTTATAGTGTCGATGGAACGCATGTATAAACTATGTTGCATGTACCTGTACATACGTGTACACATGAGCCATTTACAAAAAAATAATAATGAGGAATAAAGTTAAAGCTCTGTAAAATATAGCAATGTTAAAGGATCAAACATCTGGGAGGTCGTTGAAATAAGTAGACAGAAAGAACTTGCGCTACTTTAAACCTATTAAATGGTTCACACGTGCGTAAAAGTTTTCTATAGTACTTATCGAAATTTTAAAATCTTTTTTTCTTTATCTTTAACATAGTTTTTTTATTATGTAGCCGTATTACGCTTTGCGATACTCGAATTCAGTTTCAGAAAACTCTTACTCGAAGCTGGACAATTTCGAAGGTGAAACGTAGACACATGATCTGCAGGCAGGCGACGAATAATTGCAACGAACGACACGATATGACAACGATTCTATCGTGGACACGTACTACTGTATTATAAATACTTAGCGAATTAACGTTGGGTATTTTTTCAATTGCCGAGCCATTTTAGAAAGTGCTGAACGAGACGTCTCGTTTCCTGACGTCAATGTGTTAAGTAGCGGTTAAGTTAAAATTGAATTGCACCAGGTAAGAAACACACGAATCGCACAATTTTCAGTTCGTGTCGGAATTTATAAGGCGCTTGCTTGCTTGCTCGCTTGCTTGCTCGCTTGCTCGCGCGCGCTCGCGCAAGTTACTCGCGCAAGATGAAAACCATTCCCACGCGCACTCAAAGACAAATAACTGTTGGATATGGCAGAGCAGAAATGATCGCTACAATTGTTCCCTCGCGGCTCTTCAGCTTTTATTAGTAATAGTTCAACTTTTACCACGACATTTATGTACGCGCGTTAAACGTAAATAGGCGAAAACCAGCACACGCGCACATTTCTGCTCGAGAAGAAGAAGTAGCAAAGACATAGCCTAGACCGAAATCATATTCTTACTTTTTAGTCTGTTACTTTTAGTGAATGCGAATTTTCGTGCAATTTGTAGGAAAGTTTCACAAATGCAAAATTATGCACAGAATACACGTAATATGGAAAAATATATTTATATACGATACACGCAATATAAAAATATGTATAAAGAAATTATATTTGGTACTCGAAACAAATTCCTATTTTCTTTTAATTGTACTTTCAAAAAATTAGCCGTCCACTAATAAATATCTCGTTAAAACTTCTCATTGTGGATTGATCGTAGAAATCATTTAAAAAAAAATAGTAGCACTTACGAGTGCTAAATACTTTGAATTTATGTATTTTTGGTGTACTCCATGTACTTTTGTGTTCTTCACTGTTTATTCACTGTTTATTTATTAAATTTTGATTTTGACCCTGCTATTTGACATTTAAAGTTTTCACCTTTGTATAATTGTTGTTCCAACGTGTTCCGAGTGAAATGGAATAGGCAAAAGCAAATTTAAAAAGAAAAAAGATCTCTGATACTTCCTCCTCTCGTCAGTTGTCGAAAGTTTCATTAAAACACGCGATGATGTGCACGCGTGGGTAGTTATAGCATTTCGTAACAATCGCTGTATAACAAAAGGAGCAACATTTTGTTTTCTTGCAGATATTCTCCACGCTTCCTACCTTCGTTTGTCAAGCTATTCATCGTCAGTCATATATACTTTCCACGTGATTCTTTTCCACTCCATTCTCACGTTTCTTTGTCGTTAAACGTTTCTCACCCCCGTTGTATACATCTGTGTCTGTACAATTTTATGTACATAAACTGAACGAATAACGAAGAAAAATTGTAGATATTTTAAACTGTTATAACTACAGTAAATTGATATTTTCAAAAATGTAATTGAAAAAAGCGGAATCTGGAAATTATTTTACAATCGACCAGCTTTCGTAGAGCTATTATACTTTGGCTGTTTCATATATCTTGTCATAGTGTGTGTGTATTCCGTGGGATTTTGCGTTTGAAAATTTTCTGCAAATATAAATGTGTAAAAATCCGTATAGTAAAGCCTTAGAGTCTCTCTACTTTAAAGAGACACTAAAGATAGAAAAGTAAGAATACTCTGTCTCTAAAAACATTGAAACTTTCTTTTTCTTTTTCTCACGACTAGATTACCATTTTATTAAATTTCGAACGTCAGGGTTAAACGATAAAAGTTCAAGAAATCTATCTCAACATTTCTAATTCGAAACGTTCAAAACTAAATGGAACGGTGAAAAGAAATCATGCAGTAAATTAAAAAAAAAAAAAAGAAAAAAACAACAAGCGTAAAGAGAAAATGTCAATCTTCAAGATCATAGTACATCCAGTCGTGGAAACATGGAATTTTTAGCCACGGAAAATATCTGTACGAAAACAGGACAAGAGTTAAGGTTTCGCACGATTTTCCTTGACTAAAGAAAATTATAACAGCTAAAGCATCGACAAGTTTTCATCGTTATTTGCCCGATTATGCTCCTTAATGTATACGTATGTATGTTCTACAAAGATATTTACGTCGATCAAGTTAGGTTCGACAAAGATGCCCTCCCCCTCGTCGTTGGCGTGTATGAACGCGTGAACGAAAAATCCTTTCTCTACATTCAAATGAACAACTTTGTTTCTTCACCTTCGTTCTTAGATCTTGATAATTCTTCTCCTATGACTTGTTACAACCGACGTAATGAAGCAAACGATGCACGTATTGGTGTCTTGTACAGGTTACACAGCTGTATAGTTGATGTGACTTCCTACCGATTAAGCAACCTAAAGAAGTTAAATTGCTCTCATTCAAGTTGGCAGAGGAGATGCCATTCATGTCTAATGTACGTCGTATAAACTAGATATAACGTGGCTCGACCATTCGGTGTCGAACGGTTTCGTCTCGTTGGAAACAAACGATGACCATCGGCTTGACCGCCGATCATTAAACGTTGATTCTCAATTAGCAGTCGGTCGATTTCTTTTTTTTCTTTTTTTCTTTCGTCCCTCGCAGGTTGCGCCTTCTGCAAAAGCTCAGGACTGCTTTCTTGTTTCTCTCTCTCTCTCTCTCTTTTTTCTTTTTTTTTCGTTTTCCGTATTTCCGATCGTCGACGAGACCTATCCTGTACGATATGTAGTATGCGAAGTTTTCCGCGCTCTACTCGGTTCTCTTTGTATTTCGACAAAGTTCCGTTGGTTATTTTCCTGCGTGCGAATTTTCTCCGAATTTGCGTCGAATAATTTTCGAGTATCTCGATACTTGTCCGAAATAAAAGTTTTAGCCAGAGTGGAGGAAGAAACGTTTTTATCGTTGGATTGGAAACGAAAACGTTTCTAAAGATCTCGATCCTAAATACGACGTTACATACGCATTATTGCTCTCATCATTTTACCTCGTTTCTATCTATTGAAATTGATCACGGTTTCTCGATCAAAAATTCTGATACCGATCGTTACGTTTCTCGTAACTATGCTTAATAAGTGAAAAATGAGACAACGAGACGTCGATCAACGCGAGCATCAACTGGATGCGTGACGTTCGTTACGAGCAACAAATCGGCGGCGGATGTGAATTCGAACAAGTTTCTTTTATCACTTGCGGCAACACAAACTAAATTTTCCGACACGGATCGTTAGATCCGGTGACTTGGCAAATTTTCTAAACGAGGTTTCAACTAACCTCGCATATTGGAGAACGACATGCAATGTGACACTAACGTAAGGTGAAAATAAAAATAGGTAAAGGAAGTGAGAAGAAAGGAGAACGACAGAGAGAAAGGGAGAGAATGGAAAAGAGAGGAACAAACACAAAGAGAGGAGGGAGAACGAGATGCAGTTCGTCGAGATCGAAATCAAATTCTCCAACGAACGTGTCTCACGGACTGGAACACAGGATCCTCTTGTCGAAATAAAAATCACAAAACTCTTACGATTTACGAATAGAGCAGACGACGAGTAAAGGAGAATTCTTTTGATGAAATTCTTTCGTTTGAACGAATAATTTTACTTTACGCGTGCGTTGTTCTTTTGATAAAAATCGCCCCTCTGTGCATGATCATTTCCGACCAACGTATCGTTTTGTCCGCGTTTTGTCCTTTCGTACCGTTCGTCGTGAACTAAATCACAAGCATTGTTGCTCGATACGCAGCACCGCACGACACACCTGTACCGTTTCATCAGTTGAATTTCGCTTGTTTAAAATGCACCAAACGCTCGGAACGATTCTCTCGGTTCCCGATTCGCTGGCCGATCCTTCTTTTGCATCTCGTCTCCCTCGTTCCTCTTTCTCTGCCTCGAATTTTTTTACACCCCATGCTCATTCTCTCTTTCATCTCGCTTTCCCTTCATGATGTATATTCTTCTACTCTTTCCTCTGTTGTTATATTGCTGCTGCTAATGCTGATGTTAGCATCATCATCCTGCTGTCCCTCCACTTCCTTCTCTTTCTCCTCCTTCTCCTCGTCTTCCTCCACCTCCTCCTGCTTCTTCCCTTCTTACCTCGTCTCCTCCACCTTCTTCGATATATACTTTAATTTCGATTTTTCTCTTTTTCTCTCTTTTTTTTTTTTTTTTTTTTTTCGAGAATACTCCGTTCCGTTCTATCTTTCACCATCGTCGAAGCACCACCCCCTCCCCCCCTCCTCCGCCCCCTTTTCACCCTTAACCATTGTTAGATCGGATCGAACTCGTTTTACCGTGGGAAAGCCGATCGGTAGCCGATAATATTCGAAAATAATATTTGAACGAACCTCCTCCCAAGTCAGACGTATCCATGTTGTCAATCCCGTCGTCACACATATACTACATTAACAACTACTCCGAAGTCCGGCAGCGTTTGTTGGAATCGCCCCTCCCTCGAACTCTTCTCTTCTCATCTCTCGCGCATCGCGCCCGCTGAATCGTGCCGCGGTCAAAATGCGAAATCGTCATCGCGCTAATCGCCGTTATGGCTTCCTTGAAAATTGAA